TTGTACCTGGAAGGTGTGCTACTTCTGATGGATGGTTATGTGGTTTATCTACATGAATCTGAATTTGAATTGGGAGTCAATGAAGATCCGGTTTCATTTTCACAAGCCATAGAAAGTGCAAATCTTCTAAATTGTTAGATGCAATGAAAGATGAGTTGAAATCGATGGATCACAATAAAGTTTGGGATGCCCTTGAATTAACTGAAGGCTGTAAGAGATTCGGGTGTAAATGGGTCTTTAAGAACAAGCGAGACTCGAATGACAATATTGAATGATATAAAACCAGACTTATTGCCAAAGGTTTCACACAGAAAGATGGCATCGACTATAAAGAAACATTTTCTCCAGTTTCTAAGAAAGATTCATTTAGAATTATCATTACACTAGTAGCTCATTATGATTTAGAGTTACACCAAATGGATGTGAAAACTGCCTTTCTGAATTGAAACTTAGATGAAGATGTCTACATGAGTCAACCTGAAGGATTTTCGATTGAAGGAAAGGAACACATGAAGTGTAAACTTAAGAAATCAGTATACAGACTTAAGTAAGCTTCCCGACAATGGTACCTTATGTTTAATGATACCATCACTTCCTTTGGATTTAAAGAAAACACTGTTGATCGGTGTATATATCTGAAGGTTAGTGAGAACAAGATTATATTTCTCATTCTGTATGGTGATGATATCTTACTAGCTACTAATGATCTTGGTTTATTGTATGAAACCAAGAATTTTATCTTTAAGAACTTTGAAATGAAAGATATGGGTGAGGCATCCTATGTGATTGGAATTGAAATAATTCATGAAAGATCACAAGGATTGTTAGGATTGTCTCAGAAAGCATATGTCGATAAAGTTCTTAAGAGATTCAATATGGAAGGCTGCTCTGCAAGTGTTGCTCTAATTCATAAAGGAGATGAATTCAGTCTTATGCAGTGTCCAAAGAATGATTTGGAACGTAAACAAATGAAAAAAATTTCTTATGCATCTATTGTTGGAAGCTTAATGTATGCTCAGACTTGTACCAGGTCATACATTAGTTTTATTGTCGGGATGCTGGGCAGGTATCAAAGTAATCCAGGAATAAATCATTAGAAAGCTGCAAAGAAAGTTTTGAGGTACCTGCAAGGAACAAAGGACCACATACTCACTTATAGAAGATCTAATGATCTTGAAGTGATATGATATTCAGATTCAGATTTTGCTGGTTGTGTTGATACTAGAAAATCAACATTTGACTATCTGTTCCTTTTGGCTGAAGGAGCATTCTCGTGGAAAAGTGTGAAGCAGTCTATCATTGCTACATCCACTATGGAAGCTAAATTTGTGGCATGCTTCGAAGCTACAATTTAGGGATTATGACTGCACAATTTTATTTCAAGACTTTGAATTGTCGACAGTATTGTCAAGCCGCTGAAAGTTTACTGCGATAACTCCGTAGCAGTCTTCTTTTCTAAAAACAAGTATTCCAAAGGTGTTAAACATATGAAATTAAAGTACCTTGTCATTAAAGAAGAATTTCAGAAACATAGGGTGTCAATTGAGCATATTAGCACCAATCTTATGATTGTGGATCCATTAACAAAGGGTTGTCACCACAGTCATTTAACGAAGATGTTGTGAGAATGGGTATTACCGAAACCTTTTATTAATTTTAATGTTTAATGCTCTTTATGTTTGACACTTTGAGCTCAGTTTATTGTTGTTTCTGATATTTATGTATCTTGTTTTTATCGCTACTGTATACTTTATGTTGTGTGATGTTTAACAAGATCTGTCTTTTAATAGATATTATGGGATCATGAAGTTATTTCTCATTATGTTAAGTATGCAATTGATATTATGATGCAGTGAAGGAACTATGTCGATAAATTGATACACAACCGCCATGATTCATATTAATTTCATACTTATTGATGATTTATGATTTGACCAATATAAAGAAGGATTTAAACTTACATTTTATGCAATATATTATGCACTATTAAGTATTATGTGGGCCAAGTGGGAGAATGATAGTTTTTTATTTATGTGACCCACTATCATTTATTTTAATAGTAATTCATTAACTAAAAAAAAGAGGGTTATGTCTTTTCCCAATAGACACCGCATCCTTTCGCTTTAATTAATTAATTCAATAATCCTAAATGAAGATTCATGTCTCTTCTTAAAAAATATCATATTTTTTCGCTTTAATTAATTAATTAAATTATCATAAATCCTATTGGTCAATAATCATCATGAGGGATGATGATTAATAATGGATAATTAAGAGAAAGATTGTGTATCTTCCCAAAAGACTTTTTTCCCTTATAAATAAGAGAATGATCCTCTCTATCCCAAGAAGAAAAGTATATTTTCTCTCCATCGGAAAGTATAGAAAGAAATAAGGATTAGAGAGAAAAATTTTATCTCTTCAAATTGAATTGATCATGAATACAGGTACGTATATCTCATTTATGGGTATGTAAAAATCATAAATTCAAAGATCTTGGTCATTTAATTTTATAAATTTTGGGTTATGAAGTTAAATTTTATAAATTAAAAATCCTAACAAATACTTTTAATTGAATACTAATCTTTGTAACCTTGTAGTCAATTAATAGTATTTCGAGCGAAAACGAGCCGAACACGAATGAACAAATTTTTGTTTGTGTTTGGCTCGTTAACTTAGCAAATGAGCCGTACAAAAGCTGTTCGCGAACAAGCGATTTTGACAGCCCTAGGTGTCAAGTCAAAGTATTAGGCACAAGTAGAATAGTGTTGATGGATCAAATCTTTGATAGTTTGACAATAAAAAATAAGAATTTCATAAGCAGATCATATATATCATTCCTTTTAACTATGTATATATATATATATATATATAATGAGAACACTTTTTTGTGCTTGAAAGCATAAGTATATTAATTATAAATAAAATTAAGAAAAAAAAACTTAGATGGGAAGGTTAATAAGTTTAAAGAGAAAAAAAAAAAAGAAAAGGAAAATATATTTTTACATACCAACCATGCAAAATATTAAATATAATACTTTAACAGCTCAAATTTAAAGACTTTGCTTGAGATCAATTTTATTTTTTATTATAATTTCATTTTTTTTTTCTATTTTTAAAAACATATTTATCTGATGCCGTATACATATTATTTTTAAAAATAAGTCAACAAATATTTCAAAACACTCAAACCAACAATTAGGAATTTTGAATATTTTTAAAAATAATCATATCTTAATCAAATATATCAAATAAATTCTATTTCAAATCAAAACATAAACAAAACAAAATAAAAATCGGCAATCTTATTCTTTCTTCACAATTACCTTCCTAAATTCACTCATGAAATTTTTGAGTAGTTAAATGTAATATTAAAATTTTAGATGATTAATATGTAAAATTACAAAAAAAAAAAAAAAATCATGAATACAATGCATATGGCTCTGACGCAGGCCTTACAAATGTGGTCCCCAATTGCCGTACATGTGGTTGTGGCGGCTCCTCCTTACTAATAGGAAGAGTTTTAACTCAAAATAGAATTTTTAATGGTAAGAGATAAAGCGATTGGAGAAGGGAGAATGCAACTTGGGCCCACTAAATCATATATCATTTGGAATTATCTTAATGAGATGTCTTTTAGCAATAAGCTTTGAAATTAAAAAAATATTCAGGTTCAAGCCACCTCATATGATATTAAAACACTGACTGCTATGTTCAATAAAATTGACCACAATTTTAATATAAATAATAGAGAGCAAAATCAAGCAAACAGCTCTTGATTACATCCATCTAGTCAACTTTGATTCTAAATAATTTATATTTGTGGTGAAAATTTTGATTTGCCAAAATGAATAATCTAAAAAATGTCTAGTATTTCTACTTAATTCTTGGCAGTCATTATCACAAATGATGGGATCACTTCCAACAATTATTGAGGATTGTCTCAATAAAAATCAAGTAGATCTAAACTAAAATAAAGAACAATAAGAAAAACCAAGCAAGCTATATACCGTTACCCCCAATGCCTAAGGACTTATTAGTATTATGATTGGGTATAACAAGGATTACTATGTGTAGGGATGAGGGGAGAGGTTGCTATTGTTGTATTTGAGATTTAGGGTTAGGGTTAGGGCTTGGGTGAAATCGCCCACCTCTCGACATGCAGCTGCTCATGTTTTATGTCTTTGTTTGACTTGTGTGGTGTTGTATTGATTTGATTTGCGATTTATGAATATTTTGAGCGCTAATTTATGTAGAAAATCATTTTGGATCGTATCACATACTAGTCCAAAATATTTGTAGACCATTCTAAACAAAGAATATATTTTCAAATCTTTTAAAAATGATATGAAATGGTCTATAGAGTATCTTTCATGATGTCATTATTATTTTTTAATTACAAAAGTTAGCATGAATTGTGAAACATTTGTAATAAACACAACATAATACAATCAAAAGGCTCCACAAGCAATTCAGAAACAACTTAAAGCAAATGCTAACTTTACATACAAACTTTGTGGGGGACTTTACATACATACTGCACAATTCTTACGTATTTACATATTCGACAGCTAAAATTTGAAATTCAGTCGTAATCACATCAAAACATATGCAAGAAATGATGTATGTCGTTAGAAATATTTATGTGATATTGACAATTTAGGTTTTATACAAGTAAATATTAAAATTCAGCTGTTGAATGCATAAATAAATAAGAATTGTGTGATATGTAAGACAAACGTAAACTCCCAATATGTAATAGCTTTAATAAACTAGTGACTAGTAGAAAAATCTAAAAAAAAATCATTAAATGAATTAATGCAATAGAATTAAAAATAACTCCTAAACAAGCAGATAGTACTGAATTTTACAACTAGGAAGAGGAGAGTGTTTACATTTTATGATTTTGTTTGCATGAAATGTAAGCAGAGAGTAATGGCAATGAGAACAAAGATAAAACTGCTATTACTTGCAAATTCTAAAATTAAAGAATCTAAATTGGATGAGGAATGAATAGATTTACGTTGATTTCACAAACTGATGAAATACAAAAAGTAAACATATAAATACATATATACACATTATTAGAAATATGGTTGTGACAATTATGATGGGAAAGAATGGCAACTATGGCACAGACATTGAAATAAAACAAAAATGTGAAATTTCAGCATTTTGGGGAGAAAGGTAGAGGGCCTTCGCATTCCTCTCATTGTTAATTTCTCGCATTTTTTTACCTGCTCCTTAAATGTTAGGTAGATGTATTTCTTTCCGAGGCCGTGATGAAGCCAAGTACTGCAAAGTATATGGTGTTAAGTATAATCAGAGGGAAACTAAAGATCAAAAGCAAAGAGATCCTCCATGGTCAACCCAACGATGAAATCTCTCCGAAAATTCACCAATATCAATATTCTGATCACCAACCCTCGACTGCTCCACTTCTGTAACTGTTCCATTCTGTGGAAGTACACAATAGCAATGGAATGTAGCGATATATTAAAAATCACAGAACATTGATTGGAAGCAAGATATTATAACAAGCATATGCTAATAATTTTTAGGGTCCTGTAAAAAATATGTTGTAAATTTTGCATAGGAAAAATTCAAGGCAACAGTTTCAGAGCAAAGCAAATTAAAGGCATCCACTATAAAGGTTAATTTGGTGCCATTAAAAAATTGAAAGTCATTTCTGATTTTCTCCATACCCCAGCAATTTTATCAACTACCTAGTGCACAGCTAACAGACCAAAACAGCAAATTTCAAGAAGTAGAAGACAAACCTTGCAGCTAGATCCATCCCAACTTAAATTTGAAGGTGTTTCAGCATTCAACTCAATAATCACATTTTCACTGGAAAGTTTCTCCACAGGAGAATTAATAAGTGATGACCTGCAAGAACAAAATCAGATTAAATGAGTAATAGATGACAAAAGAATTTGATTTTAGTCAGCATTATTCCGACCCCTTTCTGGTTGATCAACCGCACCAGCCACAAAAATTTTCAGAATTCACTTTTAAAGTATGACTAGATGGCTGAAGATCAACAATAGTGCACTCTTCATTTGACAAAAGCATGACAATGAGATTTTTTGCCATAATTTTAAGAAGACAGATTTTTATAAACAGACCACTCAATTCCTTTGTATTTACATATCTAACACCAAAACTTAAATTTTTACATACACACCAACTTGCACATGCATGAAAAGGTTTATTCACTTATAAAAGTTAAAATTGTGCTATTTTTTATGTGATATGATAGATTTTGGCGGTATATATGTCAAAAATAAAATTTAGGTGTTAGATATGTAAATACATTGAAATTGGGTGGTCTGTATGTAAATGAACCTTTCAAGAAAGTCTGAGTGTATGCCTAGTGCCATTGAGATTAAAACCTAATCCTACATAATGGCATTAAAAATAACTTCTAATTAAGTTTAGGCTTAAGCCATACAGTAAGTAATCATAATCTTCAGAACATTCTGGCAAATAATAACATGGCCACATTTTTATCAAAAAAGAAAACACAACTATAATAAATAACTTAACCATTCTTTCATTAAGAAAAAGGGGATTTTAAGCCAAAACTTTCATATTTACCTATCTAACCCCTAAATTTTCATAATTACAAATATTATATGAAAAGTAGCGCTCATTATAACATTTTAATAGTGAATCTATCTTTTCATCCATAGGCAAAGTGCTTTGTGTGTAAAAAAAAAGTTTACGTGTGAGATGGGTAAATCCATAAGAATTGGGTGCTATGTATGTAATTTCCCAAAAAAAAAATTAACTGCAACTCAAAATTTCTTATTTGCTGCAATGTTGTTCGGATTGTTCTTCAGATTCAAACCTAATTGAATTAGGGTTCTCAATCACAATGCTCTTTTTTTGTGCAACGCAACTTGTTAGCACACCATAATTGTAAGATGATGCGGCATTGAAGTAATCTAAAATAAAAATGTGTAGACAAATCAGCCACCCACTCCTAAACTCTATAAACAATTTGCCTGTTGGCCACTTTACTTCTCATACTAGATATAACTTTGTCAGAAAAACTTCAAAATCAGAAATAAAATTGGTAAACTAAACCAAGTGAGGCACAGCTGGAATAATAAATATATTTAAAATTCAAACTCTGAAAATGCTAAGAAAACCAAAAGAGAATACTGTCACCTTTCATAGAATTCCTCTTCACACGAATTTCCTGAAGAAGAAATGTGGTCCAGATCTAGAAAATTTGAGAAGCTTGACTCATCAAATCTAAGTTGATGGAAATAACCATGGTCACTATCAACAAATTGCATCCGACGAGAACTAACAGCAATGTATCTGGCAAAAAATGATGAACATTTTGGAAAAGAACACAAGGAATTTTGATCATTTTATTTAGACAATATGAATTACATGAAAAATGTGTGTCCGTGTTTGTTATGTTTTGGCGAATTTTGCAACTTTAGAGTGCAAACAATGAGAAGAACTTACTTGGAGTAGGATACGACTCTTTCAGAAGTTGGCATCTCGGGCGTTGACTCAGAAAGACCTTTGGTATCCACCGAGGTATGCATGTTTTGAGGACTTCGTTCTCCCGCTTTAGAACTAGAACTAGGTGTGTCACTCTCACATAGAATATTTCCCTCCGAAAGGGATCTTTTAATAAATGATCTATTAAAAAACAAATTATTAACAAGTGATTCTTAAGAAAAAAATCAGACTATAAGATCATGTTAAGGTATTGCATGGCAAATGAAGTTGGTAACTACTACTACAACAACAAGAAAGCCTTAATCCCACTACATGGGGTCGGCTACATGAATCCTTTTTCTCCATTGCGTCCTATTTAGTGTCATATTTTCATTTAGTTCTAATAAATTAAGATCATTTTTTATACAATAAGCTCAAGTCTTCCTAGATCTACCTCTGCCTTTCTTAACATAAGTCGAATCTAAAACATCTACTCTCCTAATCGGATCAAAACATCTACTCTCCTAATCGGATCACCAGATGATCGAAGTTTAATGTGACCAAACCATCTAAGACGACTTTCTCTAATTTTGTCCGTCACAGGAGCTACACCAACCCTTCACGGATATATTCATTTCGCATTTTGTCTCTAAGTGTAAAGCCACTCATCCACCTAATCATTCTCATCTCGGCAACACTTAACTTAGTATTATGCTCGTCTTTTAAAGGCCAACATTTTGCGCCATAGAGCATTGCAGGTCTCACCACCATCTTATATAATTTTCCTTTCAGTCTAAGCAGTATTTTTCTATCACACAAAAGGCCCGAAGCATTCCTCCACTTCAACCAACCAACATGAATTCTACTATTAACATCCACATTATATGACCATCGCTTTGAACAGCAGACCCGAGATATCTAAATCGTTCGCACCTTTTAATAATTTGATCACCCAAAGTTACACTTCTACCACTAGAGCTACTACTGCTAAAATTACATTCCATGTATTTAGTTTTAGTTCTACTTAAAGGCTTTTAGACTCCAATGTAGACCTCCATAATTCAAGTTTTTCCTGGGTTTTTTCTCTAGTCTTATCCACGAGAAGGATATCATCAACAAAAAGCATACACCAAGGTACATCCTTCTTCCAGTAAGACCATCCATAACTAGGGCAAAGAGATATGGGCATAAAAACGATCCCTAATATAATCCAACAGAAATAGGAAAATAATTGGTCAATCCTCCTTCAGTTCGAACACAAGTAACAACTCTAGTATGACAACTCTAGTATGCAACTCTAGTATGCATATCATCTTTAATAACTTGAATGGTCATATCAAAACCTTTCTTCTCAAGAAATCTCTAAAGGATATCTCTTGGAACCTTATCGTAAACTTTTTCTAAATCAATAAAAATCAAATGTAAATCCTCCTTATTATCTCTGAACTTCTCCATCAAACCTCTCAATAAATGTATAGCTTCCATAGTAGTCCTGTCTGGCATAAACAAAGTTACATATTTCACATCTAAACTTTCATATTTACATACATAGAGCTTTGGTGCTTTAAACCTATGCATGAAATGCATGAAAAGGGGTAGATCACTTTTAAAAAGTGGTAATAGTGTTATTTTTGATATGATGTGAAAGATTTGAGTGTTGTGTGTGTGAATATGAAATATTAGAAGTGAGATATGTAAATTCATAAGAATTGTTTGCTATATATGAAATGCCCCATTAAAAGAATATACCAAATGCTTGTTTTGGTGTGAGGCCATAAATGAGAAAATAATCCCGCAAAAAATGAGCTTTAAACAAGTCTAACAAAGCTTTCAGTGTATCAAAGAGAATTGTAAAGAGGATTTTATTTCAGGTACTACATTCACTGTAAGCCAGGCATCATGCTGACAACTTCAAAACAACTTCTAACATTTCACTTTCTAGTTTGGGGGAACATCCCACGTGAGACAACTTGAAACTTTTAACAAGAACTTTACAGTTAAATACTGCGAAGCATTTTCAGGTAACTTACTTTGTGTTCTCCCCAGTAAAAGGATCGGCATGCCTCCCAATATTGTAATGTTGATCAGAGCCAAGCTCCCAAAGTGCTGCTCTACCTTCTTGCGGTTGGAAGTGCCCTAAAAACCTGTTTGTTTAGGGGGGAAAAAAAAACATGCCCGTTGCACACATTTAAATTTTGAACACTGAAACACATAGCTTGAACTATGTCCCACAAATTTGAAAAAAAAAAGTTATGGAAAATGTAAAAACATACACATTTATGGCATCTTGTTTCAATGGATCCATGTATGTATTGCTATAGTATCTTTGAACAGTCCTAAAAAATTCTTGAGACTGAGTGGCTGCCTTCCATTGACCTCTTCTCTCGCAGAATATCTACAATTTTGCACAAAACACAACGAAATGCAAAATGACAGAGAATATACAGTAGTCATTAAATGTTTAAGCACATTGTCCTGGAAAATCAAATCAATTAAATGGCATAGAATATAATAAACAAAATAAACAAGCATAAGATTATATTTCATGAATGATTAAATTACATATTTACTGAAATAATTTTGAATATAGTATCAAAGGGTTTTGACTATTTATTGAAAACAAGTAAATAATGTCAAATAATATAAGCTGCAGAACTTGAACAAGTTCTAATCTTGAAATACCTTGTTATGAGCAGCAGAGCCAACATATTGTAAAGAAAGTGTGTCGCCCATTTTCTCGTAAAGATCCATCACATCATCGGACAAAGGGGAACCTAAGTTGATCATCGGAACATCGATCAAGTCCAAGGCATGCAGCTGCTGGCCGAGGGCAGCTAAGCCATAGGCATATTGGGCTACATTTGTTCGATCAAGGCAATCGATACAATTTGTACGGAGGACACCCTTTTGGAGCATTGGCGGTTTGGAGAAAGAAGAATATTGATCCAAATTGCTTTGAGAAGTATTCCTTGAAGAGAAACCAGAGTTTCCTTCATTATCATTCTGGTACCCATCTCCTGTGAAGATGGCATCGCTGCTTTTATTGTGATTACCATCGTTCCTGCAGTATGTAACACGGACAAGGAGGGAGCCACATCATGAAATTAATTCAAAGAACAAAATCATTGAAATAATCTTTATTTTCTCATCATGGTAAATTAAAGATTGGATATTTAGTTTAAGTTGATGTTGGTTATCTTCGGATAAGCACACTATTAGCAAATTGTTAATTGGCCACTAAACCCTAAAACCTATATCACCCTACAATAAAACAACACTTGGATGAGAAAATTAAGTTCATGTAATTTTTGCATGGTTACCAATGAGAAAATCGGAGGCAAAAATTATTTGCCAATGAAAGGCAAAGCTAAGAGAAATTTAAAAAATTTTCTCAGAAAATTTCATGGATACACATACTAAAGCAAATGATCATATTGTCCAATTCACAGGAATGTGTACATTAGAAGTAATCCTATTGATCCATCATGTTTTAATGTACTAATTAGGGTAGTAAATGAAACAATGCACTTCATGAAAACTTGAACTCGACTCAATTAATACTTATACCATATTTGTTCAAATTAGTAAATAAACAAATTTGAACATTTTTTTGAAACTCTAAAGTTAAATGAACCAAATTTAAATATAATCAAACTCATTTGTTAATGTTCACAAACAAACTTATTTGTTGTTCAACAAGTAACTCGTTAGATGCTTTATACTTATATGTATATTATTTAAATAAAATTTGATTAACTAACCCTATTTAATTATATATTTAAAAGTAATATTGTAATTTAATATCAATATGCATATAAATTTAATACAATTTTTTCTTATTTTTTAATGTTATTTGATTAAAAGAAAACTTATTTACAACTTAGAAATTATCTTTTTTTACTTGGTATAAAACTAATTATATGCTAATTTAAAATTTATTCAATTGCTTATTTATTTATATTTTTAAAACAATTTGTGAATAAAATAACTTATTTAATTATATATTTAAGAGTAATATATTATAATTTAATATCAATGTGCATATAAATATGTAACTTCTTCCTTTTGTTTATTTCAAAGAAATAATTTGTTAGTATTTAGTTTTGTTATTTGATTGCAATAAAGCTTATTTACAACTTACATGTTATTTTTTTACTTAGTATAAACTAGATAGATGCTAATTTAAAATCTATTCAATTGTTTACTTATTGATATTTGTAAAAGTATTTGTTAATAATTTTATATAAAAAATCAAGTACTTATTTGAATTTTTAACTTGCTTGCTAGCTCTATATGAAAAATCTACTGCCAATCAAAATTTTAATTTTATATGAAATAAATACTCTTTTAAATTTCTTGTTTGTTCAATTGATATAAATAAGTCAAGTATAAATCAAGTATGAACATTAAAAATTTTAAACAAGCCAAAAATGAACACGCATATGAAAGCTCGGCTCAAGCTCGAACCGGACATGATATGATTTGACCAAGTCCAATCCATGACAGACTTGACTAACGAGTCTAAACTCAGCTCAATTACAACCCTAGTACTTATACTAAAAGGAAAGTAAGTCTTCAAAAAAATACAAAACTGACGAAGGAATGAGACAGGTAGAGTTCCTATTAAAACACAGTGAACGGCAGGGATAAAAAGATGAGAAAAAAAGCAAAAGACAAGGTAAAAAGATATGTGCCTACAATTAAAATACTTACACAAGGAAATGTAAGCTTAAAGGACCCGGCATTCTTAAAGAAGAGGGCACATGCCAATAGAAGAAGCCTGTCAAACACAAGGCATCTGATCCAAGTTTGACCAATAACTCGAGCACATTTTTTGCTCTGTGGCACATAAAGTTCATTTAGTTTGAAAGCAATATCAGAAATCTATAACTATTGAAATAATAAAAAACTATTGAAAAAGTAAATTTGAGAAATAGAAATGATGAAAACTTAATACCTCCGGAAATGTTTGCTAAGATCCCAATGTAAGAATCTCAAATGTTGTTCTGCTGGGAGATCTCTGTTTATAAAATCAATAGCTTTAGCAAATTCTGCACGCAGGATAGATTCTCGTGGCCGTCTTTCATATGTCTGCATGCAAATAGCTCTAAGCATCAACAAAAATGTCACCCTGAAAAGATCACGTAAGTACTTGCTAGAACTTGCAAAGCAGAACACATTTTGATGACTTCAATACAATATAAAAACTTACAAAGCAGCTATAAGTTATTAATCTACCTTGATAAGATTGAAAATAATAATTGGGTTTTCATATCTCTTCATAAGATTGTCAAAATGAAGTCGTGTTGCTTCATAGTTCTGGTCCTTCTCCACTGAAACATCAAGTTTCAAAATCAAAATAAGAACTAGACTGATTATATTGCAGTTTTCAATCACAAGTCTACAACTTACAGATAATATCAGGTTTCATGTTTAGCCATGAACTATCCTGTGACCAAAAGAGGGGTATAGAACCCCTAATCTGTACAACAGAACTTATTTTCTCTGGAACAATTTTAGAACTTGCATCAAATACAATCTGTTCGGTTTCAACTTCATTTGCTACTCTGCCTTTCTCATTGACACCACGCTTTAAGTATCTAATTCATGAAAAAGCGGATGTAAGTTGAAAGTTCAATAATGCAGTAGTTGCATTGTAAATCACTTTTTAAGTTTAATAAGAGAGAAAACCTTGTGCCAGCATAATGACGAGAGCGCCGAGCAATTAAGGTGAACACAAAATCTTTCCCAGAGATCGACAGCTTGACCTGGACACAAAAATAATTGAGAAATAACACAAAGCTTTGGTTAAAAAAGTGCTCGGAATTGTAAGTCTTTATACAAATTAACTTATTTTTGAAAAAGTCCTCGGAATAAAATAAGAGCACAATTTATTACATATTTGAAAATCTATCATACTATTCATTATTTTATTATCATTATGAAGTTCATGTTTAAAGTCTTTTGTAAATTTACAAATAAACTTATGTTGATCTAAAGAAATAATATTTCAATTTTTATGAGTTATTTCTAAACCTAACCATTCTATTTTTTTGTATATTTTTCATAAATCGTACCAATCGGAGGTGTTTTCGGGTTTCCGTTTATAGAAATCTTTTCGTTAAAAGACTCGTATAAATCTTCTATAGCTCTTATTAAAATACTTTTTAATTTTCTAATTAATTCAGAGAAATATCTATGTCGATTTTCTTTTTCAACTCTCTCATTTGGAGCGCGAACACCCAAAACATCTACAGGAGCTCAGCAGCTAAAAATAAAAAGTTCCCCATGCATTTGACCATTTCATTCGTTGCTCCCTCACCATATATAGAAAACTTCTTTTTTAACACATTTTTTTAGTCATGTGTCAAAATAATTCGTTTATTACCCCCTTCTGCTCTCATCGACCAAAATCACACCATCCTCTTTTTTTAGTTGAAATCTATAGTGATGTAGAAAAACTTAAAGTTAAAAAATTTTAAGTTTTGAAATGATAAATATTGTGTAACTATCTTTAGTACGAGATGTATTTTTGAAAAATGTAAAAGGATTACACTTTTGTTTTCGAAACTTAAATTTCTAAAGTAATTTTCAAAACTGTTATTATATTTTTAAGTAAAGAAAAAATATCAACTCTTTGCTTTAGGAAAGAATGAGTGAAATTCAAAATCATTAAAGTCCTATCAAGATATAGTAATCTTTGACTGAAAAAGAAAGAAGAAAAGTGAAAAAAAAATGAAAGAAAAGAAAAAGAGTAGGTGAAAAAAGGGAGAGAAACTTGAGGATTAGTGTTTAATCAAAAATTGGTTCCACATCTGAACCAATTTTTTATTTAATAAAAGAAATTTAAGTTTCGAAAACATTTAAGTTTTGAAAACAAAAGTCTAATCCTTTTACATTTTTCAAAAATACAACATTTCTTACTAAAGATAGTTATACTAAAAATAGTTACAAAAATAGTTACAAAATATTTATCATTTCTAAACTTAAAAATTTTTAACTTTAAGTTTTTCTACATCATTATAGATTTCAACTAAAAAAAAGAACATGGTGTGATTATGGTCGATGAGAGCAGGGGGAGGTGATAAATGAATTATTTTGACACATGAATAAAAAAAATGTGTAAAAATAGAAGTTTTCTATATATGGTGAGGAAGCAGCAAATGAAATGGTCAAAAGCATGAGGAACTTTTTATTTTTAGCTTCTGTACTCCTGCCGATAGGCCACTAGTTTACAACAATATCAATATATATAGATGTTTTGGGTGTTCGCACTCCAAATGAGAGAGTTAAAAAAGAAAATCAACAGAAATCCACAGAGATTTCTCTAAATTAATTAAAATATTAAAAAGTAATTTAATAAGAGCTATACAAGATTTATACGAGTCTTTTAACGGGTACATCTCTATAAACGGAAACCCGAAAACACCCCCCGATTGGTATCAGAGTCATACGATTTATGGAAAATATACAAAAAATAGAATGGTTAGATTTAGAAATAACTCATAAAAATCGAAATACTATTTCTTTATATCAACATAAGTTTATTTGTAAATTTACAAAAAAATTTGAACATGAACTTCATAATGATAATAAAATAATGAATAGTATAATAGATCTTCAAATATGTAATAAATTGTGCTCTTTTTTTACACTCGGAATACAAAAAGTGCTCGGAATACAATATTTTAGAAAAGTGCTTGAAATTTCTTTTTTACAAATATGCAATAAAAAAATAGCACAACAGTCAAAATCACAAAAAAGAAAAAAAATTGTAAGTTGGAAGCAAATGCAGTATATAATACTTTAGTAAGTTCTCTCTCAAAATAAGTCGAAAATTTGAAGCACTGAGAGTCTAAAAGTATTTATGTGCAGAAATCAACACATACCATTTAAATCTATACCATTAGACATGAAGATCATAGTGATGCTATAAATACTACATAATTGGTTAATCAATATATTCTTACATTAAAAGTTCAATCTTAATGATTCAGACCAGATTTAGTGCTAGAGAAAACCGGCTTATTCATGACTAGAAGGAAAATACAGATCTATCTTACAAAAACTTTAATAGTTAAATCAATAAAATTTAATTAATTGACAATTCAATTAATTGTCATGTAAAAAAAAACAGAAAGCGAAGAACATCAATGAAACCTGCAATACATTGCCAATGTCAATTGTAAACATAAAACAAATAAACAAAATAAATTAATACACACACAGTACAAACCATCTCAAAACAGGTAATAATAATTTGGCACATTTCCATAAATAGCACACAATTCTTATGTGTTTACATATCACACGCCTAAACTTCAATGTTAGCACACATAGCACTTTGGTGCTTTAAACATGTGAATAAAAGTACGTTTTTGACTTCTAAAAACTGATAATAGAGTTATTTTTTATGTGATAAAGTTTTGATGTGAATTGTGAGATATGTAAATGCATAAGAATCGTGTGATATGTATGTAAATTTCCCTATTAATTTACCTGTTTAAAAAAACCGTGCACTAGCGCCACAGTCCACAATGTGCTTTTCAGGTTATTGCGAATTCCACGTGTTAGGAACTCATTCCACACGAACATTGTTTCATACAGAACATCTCCAGACTTTACATCACATAAGTTCTTCTGGAGACTACGCATTATATTGAACGAATAACTAAAGAAGAAGTCCCTTGTAAGATCCACCATGCAAAGAAGCTTCCTGTACCTATAAAATCAACGGAAAATTAAGAATACATTAATTGCTATAGAATAACATAAATGCTGAAATGACAAAGATTACAAAATATAGTTAGAAAAATTTGTAAATTCCCTGCAAAAAAAAATAAAAATAAAAATGATAGAATAAACCTGGGCATCTTCTCTTAGATATAGCATACCAAGCCAAAAAGAAGTATATGAATATACCTCTGGTAGAAAGTAGCCAATTTGGCATAGGCGCCATGATATTGTACAAACATAAATGGGAATTGCGTCTCACTCACCAACCTTAGCTAATTCAGGGAACCTTAAAACATATAAATGCTTGTTTTGAGCTATAATATTTATAAATAACGCTAATGATAGGTTTTAATGCAAACCAAACATACAAAATACGAGATCACAGCAAATACAAACAGCTAAATTGAAATAATTTTTGAAACAAATCAATAGACACACGAATCCCTCACCACCTGTAAGAACAAAAATGGGCAAGTAAAACTGTGGAAATCTTCATAATTGGATTGTGCTTTCAAGGAGAATACAAGTATGTAAAACATCATAACAACTGTTTGATCCCTTATAGACAAAATGACCACCATGAAACATCCCATATTTATTACAAAAGAAATTAACAAAAGACCTGTTCTCATCCTTAGAAAATGGCATATTGGCCGACACAGTAGGATTTGGAATTGCGATAATTTTGCTCTTAGAGATGGCAAAGACCGCATGCCCGCATATTGAACCAATTTTTTGCCTTTTTGTAATGAGCAGCAAGTAGTAGGGTCCCAAGAACTTCACAAAACCTACAACAATAACAACCCGTTGATGTTGTGCTACGAAAAGTGCAATTTGCTGTAAATTACAGTATAAGAAAATTAAAATAACTTGAGGAAGAACTCACCGATGATTCCATAACACTGTGTAACAAATCTAAGCCCACCACTTGACCTGTTTCCATTATGTATTCTGTTTAACAAATCTTCACACTCGGTTTCAGTGTAGACTGCAGGATCTTCTCGGATGTTCAGCTCAGAAGGCTCTAGCCTGTCAATTGACAAAACTTTCCATATTGTTCTAGTCTTGTCCCATCCAATCATGAAAAATTTCTGTTGCACACAACAAACAAGAAATTATAGCAAGAACAGAACAAAGATTGAAAGAATAAAACAACAAAAAAGGTAAGCTTTTAGTTCATTTGTTGTTCTCAAATGATAAATATATTGATATTTATGATAGAAGTATTTAAACATATATAGTATCAAAGTAATGGCTAGAACATCTGAAGAGATGAAACACTGCAAAACAAACTAAATGTTGAGCAGCTTGACACACGCAATCCTTCAAAAGTAGATCCTATCATTTATGCTAAAAATAGGTTGATTGGCTGTCAATCACCAAAAAATAATTTATAGGTAGCAATTCTGCAACTAATGATTTCACGGGAGAGATGGAAAAGTAAGGGAATAATTATAATACAAATATATGTATGTATATATATATATATATCAGCTAGTGAAAAACCAACATAAAAATTAGAATGGCAAAATCAAAGGATCTCGCAAGAAAAATATCTTTCAACAACTCAACAGAACAGAGGGTTGAGAAGAAAAAAAAAAACTTAAGGAAATAATTAGAAATCAGATATCAATCAAAACAGCCACAAACAAACAAAAAAAAAACACAAGAATTATTGAGCAACAATCAAACAAAAGGACACAGTACATCAATCATACGCAGAAGATAAATTATACAAAGAAGACAACTCCACTGACCGATCGAGTCTCATAAAGCTTATACTTCTGCAAACAAAAGCTCCCGGCGCCGTCTCCCGCCGCCATCAGATCCCTATTCAGCCGCATCAGCGGCCACCAATCACCTTTCCGGCCGCCTGCAACCAAGATCCCTGTTCGGCTGCTTCAGATACAACATTTCCTGGGCCTGGCGCCAATTTTAAACCTCACCCCCCCATTCGATTACAACTAATTACAAAAGTACAGACAGGGAAATCTAGATCTGAAAATAATAGAAAATAAAGAAGGATTCGGACACGAATCCGGCGAGCGAAAATCCGCCCGCGATGAAAAAGGAAAGATATCGAAAACACGAAAGATTCCTCTGCACGAATTGCCGTCGAGCTAGGGTTTGAAGCAGGAAGAAGGGAAACCGTATCGCTGCGCCAAGGATTACCACAACTTCCGCCGAATCCTCAAATCCACACAAACTGCTTGAGCGCGACGAGGATTACGAACGCTAAATTTTAACCCCTTTTTGCTTCTTTTTTTTTTTCACATTTCGTTTCAGCGGTCTTTATTTAATCCTATTTATAGTAGATCACGGAAATACATTTTTTGCCCTAAATATATTATTGGTGTGGATTTTTTTTTAAATTTTTATAATTAATATTTATTTTTTCAATTATATTTAAATAGGATGCCATTAAATATATGTACCTTTAAATATAAATTCACAGTAAAACAATATGTACTATAATACATAATAAATGGTAAAATCTTAATAGAAATGTGACATTATTTACATGCATATCACACAATTCTTATGTATTTACATATCTTATGTTGAAATTTTAATATTTGCATGTACATTTCAACCGATATATTTATCATACTGAATTGAAATAAATAGAGATATGAAGAAGGGCGGATTTGAAAATAAATATATTGAACTTACTACATAAGAATAAAATATTAAATTTTATTTAATATTTATTATTCTATGAAATAAATAGATGAGTCGTATAAATTTACTTTTTTTGGATTATTTTTATCTTCAGTTAAATTTAATTTTACATAAAAAAAAGTTTTTTTTTTAATTTTATTTTAAAAATAAGGCCAACTTTTTGGGGTCCACTTGATGAGCGTTTCCAGAAGCTGTGATATTTGATGCTTCCACGACTTACACACGGAAAGTAGTTGCGAAAAAAATAAAAAGTAAATTGCAAAAATAATTAATTAAAATGAGAAATGAAAATTGCCGGCAGGTCAACATTCGCCGGTGTCAATATTTGAAAATGTAGGGGTCAAATTGCAAACGCTGGTGGAAATATGATTGTGGCGGTTACGCCGCCGCAGTATGCCCGATTATTGAACGCGGCAAAATTTAAACGTTATGAGTTGACTCGGAAGCGAATCGGTCTCGCCGAGTTATCTCCGCTGGTGATGTAGGTGCTCGATTTTGAGTTGAATTTTTAAGCTCATTTTAATAAATTTATTAATTTTATGAAAAAAATTTTAATCATTAATTTTGATTGTTATCTATGTTTGTAATATTTAAAATGCATTTATAAATATGTATTATGTATATAACATAAGATTACATACACGTCACTCAGTTCTTATGTATTTACACATTGTATATACTAGAACTATTAGCACGAATCTCAAAGGGAAAAAACTGCCGAAAATACAAAGCTTCCCTACTAGATAAGCGATCAACTGACAATTCAACGCAAGTATGAGAAGTCGCATCTATAAACTTGGGATAGGTCAAAGCTCTGGAGATGGTTCATCACTCTGCAGCGACAAGTTTCGCCGAGGGTGAGGCGCAAATCATCCCGACAACGAGTCTCGTCGGATACCTCAATTAGACAATGAAAAAATCTGCCCCAGGCTTTGCGAGAGGGGAGATCCAATCGAGGCGACGAACTGACCAGAGAGACGAGACATAGTCAAACAGACTTTTAAGACAAGTCAGCAAATTGAAGGGATGTCTCAATCATTGATTTCCTAAAGAAAGAAAGAGGTGTCATAGTCAAACAGGTTTTTTAAGGCACCCCTTACCCTGAAAAGGCATTAATTCTATTGGCCCATTCTCGATACTTGAGGAACTCAGCCCTGCCAGGTATGACCCAAACCTTGCTCGTTAAACTCAGGGAATTTATGGCAATTGAGTGCTAAATGAGATTGGTTGGAGATATCAAGACAATAAAAAAGTCAAGTCATTCCTCAGTCTAGACACCCCCAAAAGACCCATAGGTCGAGGTCCTCGAAGCATTTTTTTTCTTACTCACTAGTGACATTATCCACAAGAGAGATGTAAGAATCTCTTGTAAGTTCTAAGTGGACACCATGCCTGATGGGTGATAAAAAGATAAAGACCCGCGGAAGCGGGCAAAATTGAGGCAAATCCCCAAAAGTCCAGAGAAATGACCGCATGACATTACCATGAGACCACACGATTCCAGAGAAATTGATCGCCCTAAATAATAGACGATTGGCTGGTGAGGACTTCAACTTACTGCCTTCCACCTCCCGCGGGTAGGTGACAATCTCCCATTCACTTGACATAGAGTCGATTAAGAACTTCTTCTGGCATTTCCTTGATATTGTTTATAACACCAAGCAAGCAAAACTTTTGCCTGGGAGAAAAGAATGCAAACCCCTCTTTGTTGACCTTAAAGGAGAAGTAATGGCTGAAAATGTCAAACGACCTGGCGATACTAAAATGGCAGCAGAACATGACGAAGGCCAGGATGAGCTCGACGGAGTACGACAAAATTTGGGTCAGAATGACCTCGTACTTCGTAAGCACAGTCTTGAGCTTCGACCATAAGGGTAGCCGGAGACCGTACTTAAACTGATCCTGGGAGAACATCATATCAGGGTTAATGTCATATGTTGGGCGCCCCGTGGCCGACATCCTGCAGAGAGTAATTTGAGTACCCGATACATACCACTTCTAAAGGCTCTCCACATCCTGGTCCGTCAGGAATGATGGATCAGCTATCAACACGGTACTAAAGAGAACCAGAAAATACTTTTGAGCCATTACAGTTGAACGAAAAGAAAGAGAGGCAAAAAAGAAAAAGAAACTGGAGACGAGAAATTGAAAAACTCAAAAAAATAGTGTGTAAAAAAAATTGACATTTCAAATTGCTCCAAAATATTGAAAAAATTTTGAAAAACTCAAAAAAAGATTAGTGTCACACCAATTGTCGTTTCAAATTGCTCCAAAATATTTTCTCTTACAAACAAAATTATTATAGGTTTCAAATGAATGGTCATTTGTGGCTTCATAGGAGGCAAACTCTTTCTCCAGCAATCTTCGGAGGACCATCTCTCCACCAAACCTAATCTGCTCCATCATCTTAATATTAAATGCATGAGCATGCAACCATCATGCACACATATACAAATAGTCAAACTAATCTCAACCGAATCATCTTCGAGTCAAAATATACCATTTTAATTTAAATTTTATTAAAATATGAGTGATTATAGAGCAAATTTTAAACACAATTCTCCACCCTAACAAAGAATAATTCATTGCTTAGAGATGTAACCTATATTTTTAATATTTTGTGCCAGCTTAAAAAAATATTATAAAAATGGTGCATATAAGTGGGATTTTATGGATGCGTGCTGATAATTGGAATGCGATTCCGTGACGATGTAAATGCTTGGTAAGTGGGTGATGGGTTGCTTATCCATATTTCTGAATTATGATCTCCATTACCCTTTATGTATGGATGACATGTCTTAGATTAGTACGCTATTTTATATTTGGGATTTTACATATATGGCATGTGAAATATCATTATTTATGTATCCCACATGTGAAATTTTTATTTTATGTACTCCAAACACTAAACTCTTCATGTTATTTATGTATCCCACATGTGAAATATCAATAAGTGACCACTGACGATGATGTTCAGGCATCATTAGAAGCTGTTGCTTTTCGGATCGATGAGATCACAACGTACAAACACATTCGAAACTCTCATCTTAATCTCCTTCCACACTGGCCCTCGTGATCCTTGAGCTGGACGCGAGATCAGAAGAGAAAAGACAAGAACTGTGAAAGAAATGCAGGAAAGACAAGAAAGACATTGAAGAGGTTTCTATTACATGTCTTGACTTCTATAAAGTTATTACAATATATAAAAGTGAAATATAGGTTTCTTGAGATAAATGGTTGTAAGGGGCGAAGACAAGCTGTGGTTAGGGAGTGGAGTGTTGTCGTTGTCATGCTATGTCTAGGTGCGTTATGACAGTCGACGGAATCATGACGTACAAAAATTTCTTAAACTTTCATCTTTCTTCTCCAGCTAATGAGCAAAAAAGATAACATTAAATCATGTAGTATCTTAAAATTCGTTCCACCTGCGAATCAACAAAAATGTCATCACTAAATCCAACAGATTCTTAAATCTCTTATTTTCTTTGTTTTATCTTAAACCAATGCGGAAGGAAATAGAGAAATTGAAGCTCATAAAGGCAGCGGGTGGGATGAAGTGAGAGAAAAAAGAGGGTTACCTTCCTTAATTGTTTCAAGTAAGAGCGGGCGGAACGATGAGAAAGATCAGAGTTTCAAAAGTCTTTGTTCGCCACGATACTTTAGTTGTCATCACCGGAGACAGCAAAGGAGAAAGTGAGGGACCGAGGTGTTAATGGTAGGGGTTCCACATTTGGAATCTGTAATATTAAAATTTTGAGGGTGAGACACATAAATAATGAGATTTTAAGTGTTATTAAAGTAAAAAATCTTTTTATATATATGTAAATAGTGTCAATTCTAACAAAAAGTGAGAATATTATAATAACATATATTTCCATAAATTTGATTTAATAATTCTATAAATATTTATACAAACTTAAATATTGAATGAGGAAATTTGAATAGCTTCTAGCTCGATTTGTTAATGAACATAAAAAATAATATTTAAAGCTCGTGAATAATGCTCTTTATAAAACTAGATTAATGCTCGATAAAAAACTGGGTATTCAAGGCCTTTACAATGGGCCATATAAAGGTCAATCTATATTTGAGCTAAAAACAAATGTAAACAAAAAAGGAATGAGTTTATATGCCACATAATACCAATAATTTAAAAAAAAAAAAGATTCATTTTTTATTTTCTTGTAAAAATAAGCTTGGATGAAATTAACCCATTTGTATTCACGAATATTTATCTAAGTGAGCATAACGACATAACGACAACAACAGTAAGTCTTTATCCCAGTAAGTGGGTCTGCAACATGAATCTTTTTTCTGTATTGCATCATATTAGTCTAAGTGGGTAAAGGAAGAAATTAGATCATACATAAATTCAAGCAAGATATGAGCTTGAGATAAAAAAACAAATATTAGTAATTAAGTAGATGTACATTTAGAATTTAATAAAAATTTAAATAATTAAAAAAAACTAACTTATATATTATATCTTTAGTTGACCTAAGAAATCACCCTTTTTACTCTCATGTCACAAATCCTAATGATGACTTCCCAACGAGATTCCCGTTCTCCCCAACAAGACTGCCT